GCACTGGGCAACATGGCACTGGTAGGCGTGGCACCGAGAGACATGGCACCTGCTGGCATGGCACCTCTTGGCATGGTACCACACATTTTGAAATTTTTTGGCATTGCAGTGATCTTATTGGGAGATGAGAAAATCCTTGCAGAATGAGTACGTGGTAGAGAGGACCAAGAACGGGGAGCGTGGCAACGCAATGCAGTGGGCCATGAGGGCGCCAGCTCCCTAACCACCGTGCCACCTGCTGGCCCCTCACTCTCATTTTGCAATCATTAAAATGTCAATAGTTCCTTCGTTCAATCTTTTTTTTTCTTTTAAAGAGGTTTTTACCTTAGAGTGTGTGTGTGCTCTCCAGAGAGAGGGAGACAGAGACAGTGAGAGGGAAAGTGAGAAATCACTCCCTGGGGGGAATTTCTTCTCCTCCATTCTCCTCCCAGGATCTTGGGCGCGCATGGACATGTGCTTGGCATGATTTTCAAGCTGCTGATTTCAGGACTCAAACCATGGTCAGCCATGTAGGAATCCTAGTGATGGACCCACTACGTCATCTGCTGGTCCCCCTTCATTCAATCTCCCTTTACAATTGTATTTATTCACTTATTTATTTTAATTTGGCCAAAGAGAGACACAGAGAAAGAAAGTGAGAAAGCAAGCTACCAGGTCTGGGACTCGAAGCATGGTCAGCCATGTGGGAGTGCCCAGCGCCTCAACCACCACGCCACCCGCTGGTCCCTCCTTGATTCAATCTTAAAAAAATTTTTCCTTATTCATGATAGAGTGCATATACAGGCACAGAGGCAGGGAGAGGGGGGTAGGAGCGCTCTCCATGGGCTCTGGTCTGGCCGTAATCCCTTCCCCAGTCCTCCAGATACTGGATATGCAGATGTGCCCTGCACATTTCAGGCTGACTGCGCTGGAGGTTTGAACTGCAGTTACCAGCTTCTCTCTTTCTCTCTCTTCTTTCTTTTTGTTTTTCTTTTGTTTTATTATTATTTTTTAAATTTTGCTATAGGACGCATGAAAAAGAGAGAGAGGGCCCCCCACCACGAGTTCCAGCACCTCTCAGGCACCCAGCACGCACCCTGTCCGCAGCCAAGATGCCCATAAGGAAGGTCATGGCCCAGGTTGCGGCCAAGGAAGAGCCCGAGAGGCGATCGGCGAGGTTGTCAGCTAAACCTGCTCCTGCAAAAGTGGAGGCAAAGCCAAAAAAGGCGGCAGGGAAGGATGAATCTCCAGACAAGAGTGCAAACAGAAGGCTCGTGTGCGCGTGTGCGTGCATGCCCAAGATCCCAAGAGGAGAATGGAGGAGAAGGGATTGCGGCGTGACCATCCCCCCTGGGGGGGTGATTTCTCGCTTTCTGTCTCTATGTCTCGTATACATATATATATGTATATATATATATATATATTGTAAATGACTTCTATTATGCTTTTTAGTAGTACTGTTTCCTAAAGAAAGCCACTCCTTGACTGTTGTTCTCCCTGTCAGAACTGTGTGCACTCTAACATCTTTGGTCGTGGTGGTCCAGTTTTCCTAGTCATTTTGTTAACATGCTGTGAAAGGTTGGAAATTTGAAGCATGTAGCGTGTGTGATACTAAATTGTGATTTGGTGGGACTTACTTAACAGCTTTCAACATCTGAAGACGGTGGTTCTTGATATCCTCTTAAGGAAAATCTGCCTACAAATTTGAAGCTGGAATGTCACTGGAATAACTTAAAAAGAATCACTATACTTGGCTTTTTAAGTTTTTGGTACGTATGTTAAGAACTGGGTACAAATTGAAATGTCTGTACTGATCCTCGACACACCAATAAATCTCAATTACAAAAAACAGAGAGACAGAGGGTGCCCTACAGTCAACCATGTGGGAGTCCAGCGCCTTCACCACCACATGCTGACCCCCTTTTTTTTTTTAATTTGAAAGAGGGTATGTGCACTCGACAGAGACAGAGAAAGAGAAAGTGAGGGCAGGTGGCGTGGCGTTGTGGTTAAGGGCACTGAACTCCCACTTGGTCGACCATGGTTCGAGTCCTGGACCTGGTGGCTTGCTTTCTAACTTTCTCTCTCTCCTCTCTCTCTTCTCTCTCTCTCTCTCTCTCTCTCTGTCATGCTCTGTCCCTCTCTGGTCAAATTAAAAAATGAATAAATAAAGATAAAATAATTCTTGAAAAAAAAAAAGAGGGAACATGAGAAAGCGCCCTCCTGGGGAATGGTCACACTGCAAATCCTTCTCCTCCATCTCTCCCTCCTTTCAAGATCCTGGGCCTACACGTGCATATGCCCTGTGTGTTTCTCTAGCTGCTGGGTTTGGGACTTGAAACACACCGTTAGCCATGTGGGATTCAGTCGCCTCAACCACCGGGCCACAGGCTGGCCCTCTGCTTCTCTTGAATAGCGTGTTATTGCTCCATGGTGCCAGTCCAGTCTTTTTATTTATTTCTATTTATTTATTTTTTAATTGCCAGAGAGTATTTTGTCCTCACCCAAGAGACAGAGGAGGAGGGGAGGAGAAAGCACCCCATGGGGCATGGTCACGCCACCATCCCTTCCCCTCCATTTCTTCATCCTGTCAGGATTTGGGACACATGTGCACATGTGCCTGACCTGTTTTCCAGGTCACCAGTGCCAGCGTGACATCGCAGTCAGCCACGTGGGATCTGTCTCCCTTCCCACTAGGCTGTGGGACTGGCCCTTTCTGGCTTTTTAATCAGAGGGCAGTTCCACACCTACCAGTGTCATATCTTTCAGTTCCATGCCATCAGGTGACACGCCTAGGCGCCACGCCTCCCAGTGCTACATCTTCCAGTGCCACAAGCAGGTGCCATGCCAGCAGCTGCCATGCCATCAGGTGCAACGCCTACTGGTGCCACGCCTACTGGTGCCATACCTACTGGTGCCACTTCTTCTGGTGCCACACCAGCAGGGGCCACATCTTCTAGTGCCATGCCAGTAGGTGCCATGCCTACTGGTGTGACATCTCCTGGTACCACACCAGTAGGTGGCATGTCTGTAGGTGCCACACCCCTGGTGCCATACCAGCGGGTGCCACGCCAGCAGTTGCTACATCTCCCCAGAGCCATGTCAATGGGCGTCACATCTCCCAGTGTGAAAGAATACTTTTTCTTTAAAGAATTATTTTATTTGGGACCAGCAGGTAGTGTGGTGGTTAAGGGTGCTGGATTCCCACATGGCCGACCACAGTTCAAGTTCTAGGCCTGGCTGCTTGCTTTCTCACTTTCCCTTTCTTTCTCACTCTGACTCTGTCTGGTCAAATTAAAAAATAATGATAACAAGTGGAGGGAACCAGCAATTGGCGTAATGGCTATGTCGCTGGACTCCCACGTAGTCGACCGCGGTTCGCGTCCCGGACCCGGTGG